TCAGCGTCATTTACGCAGTGAGCTGGTTTCCACAGCTTATCTTGTACTTTCTTAGTCACTACCACCAAGCTTTCGAATTCGGAAACGTGGCATACGTCATTTCCGTTGTCATGGTAACATTCAACTCCGCAGTGAATCCTATGATATATGCTTTCCAGAGTCAGCGATTTAGACAATATTTCAAACAATTGCTTTGTTGTGGAAGAAATAGAATACATGTTGTTTTTCCACTCAGTGCACAAAAAACATATCCCAACATCACCAGCCATCTTGATAAAAGAGATACACCAGCAACAACTCTGAATGCTGAAGTGGCAGAGGAAGATACGGGTTTTAAAGACTTGTATGACGACCCGCAACAAGCTGATAGAACTGGACCTAATGCGGAATGTACAAATGCATGGGATTTGTGAATGTTTCAATGTCCAACTTTATGTCTTTGATTTTTCAAATACAAGTTTATCGTTCATGTCTCATTCTATGGCTACAGGGCCCGGTTGTAATCGGTCTTCTTATTAATGTTTTATTTTGTTACATACACTCTTTTTTATATAAGAATATTGTATTTCCGGCCCTGGCTGAATAATTTGACTTTTCTGCCGATTTTAGGCTGAAAGTGTTCTTGTGAATATTCTTACGATTAAGGCAAAATATGACAGACATAACCTCTAGCAAAAATGTCATTAGCAACTAACACAATATTATGGCTGTTTTTTTTCCATTTTGGCTAGTTTTTCCGTTTAGAGAAAGGAAGTATGTTATGTGGTTTACTTCAAGCATATAACTGTAGCGTATTTACAAAATTTTCAACACACAGAGTTTCAGCCCCAGGCTTATTCTTAATAAATTTTTAAATTTCGGCCTCGATATCCTCATAAATAACTTTTTCTTTCTAAAAAAAAAGGTTAAATAACCTCCTATTAAACGAGTGCGTGGGCCGTTTTGGGGAAAATTGTCCTAGATAGTGGTACAAAAAACGTCAATATTCCCCAGTACGGCTCGAGAAAGCTAAGTTAGTCATGGAAATTGCACATTTTGAGTTTGCGGACTTTAGAAAACAAAATATACACAGCATGTAAATGGCAAAATCTGTACCAAGAAAGAACCTGCAATCCGTAGGTTTGGATTTATTTCAAGGCTACCATGCAATCTAATAATTACTTTAAGTTTTGTTCTTTGGTTTTTCTCATTCTTTTCAAAATAAAAAATAAAAATAAAACAACTAGTATTCTATTTCGCAATTCATTTTCGTTGTCATAAACTTTTGTGCTCGATGGGAGCAATTAATTTTTCCTGAAACTGGCGAAATATTAAGCCAACCATATTTTGCCATATTTTGCCATATTTTCAGATGTCAAGTATTATTTTAAATCATTAATTGTAAGGAATTATTTTTCTTTAATATCTTTTATGGATTTCTTCAATTTAACACTGAATGATTTTGAAACACTCACTAACAAAACTCGTTACCTATCTCGATCTCATCCCATTTATCAGCTATTAATTTTGCGGATCTCAGATCTCAGTTTTCACTTGAAAACAAGCTCGCAAACTTTAAACGAGGTACTGTTCATTTGAAAAAACCGCAGTCTCAACTGGACTGTTTAAAAAACTACAGCAAACTCTAGCTTTACCCAATCAACAGCACCGAACTTCGGAGCCAACGCTAATCTATGGACCTTGCTTTGTCCAAAGGAGATCAGTGCAAAAAGATTAAAATCATTTTCCATAGGTAAAGAATGCTACATCTTAAGATCTTGTCCTTTTACTTACGTCATCAGAATATATGACAAACAGAGCCAATATACCAGTGTCATAATTCAACTCATAAATTTATCAATTTCTCACGTACGCACGTTGAACGTATTGATCCTCAAATATACGTCACCAGCCGTATAACATCAATCGGACTAAACAGTAGCAGCGGATATTTGATAGCAATTAATCGCGGTGTTCTTTAACGTTTTTTACACCGCCGCAACTTAAATATAAAAATGAAGCAGTTCGTTAGTAGTCTTTATCTATTTCGTTCCTTACAAAGTTCTTGAAGACGTTTTACTGTTTAATCCTCTAAAGAACTTTTCGCAATAAATGTAAAAATATTATATATACATATATACATTTAATGAACGCCGTACGACAAATATACAGCATTTCTCAAGTTTGCATAAATTTCCCAATATTAAAATTAATCAAGGAAAAGAAAAACTGACGTTATTATGTCTCACGCAATCCGATCGGCAAAGGCTCAATTTTTATGCAAAACAACAGAAAAATGCTTTCCTTTCGGACGCGACAGGCCGCGGGGAAGAAACAATCACT